ACACTTCTCTGGCCATTATCTCCGTAACCGTTCAACTTTGGACATAGGTGTTTTGGGTTATATCGGCATACTTTAACATAAGGAACACCCTCCCGAAGTTTGGTCCATTCCTCCTGGGACACCCTGTATATATAAAACACAGAACTACACATGGGGAAGTTAACTGATAACTAACTACTGCAGTCCCACTTCATATATAAATACTGTTACACGTTCTAAACTCACATATGAACCTGTAAGCATTCACAGTGACTAAAAGTGATCTCTCTTCTCAGGGTACCAGCTGCATTAATTCAGAACAGAAGTCTACATACAAAGTTCACTATACACTTGCCCAACATGTATGAAGTTAAACACCTGAATGACAGCCCTCTGTATAATCTACAGCTCAACTAAATAAATGAACATTCTTTGTATTTCAGGATATACAGAGTTATGAGTGATAAAACACTACAATTTTTATATAGTTCAGCTATTGGAAACAGCAGAGAAGTTTAATTAACATTCTTAATAAATTAATCTCCAACTACCAAGACAATTTTAATAAGCCCTTATTCATATGTTATTCAGTCAGCCATGATACAATTATCATAATACCCTGGAAGAGAAATAGTAACAATTAATCACATATCTACTCAAAAACCTGTAAAAAATATAGCTAATGAGCTAAACTGGAACATAAATAAATAACAAATTACAAAATTACACGTCGGATAACAATGATTTAACTATATTTACATGACAAATGACAAGCACAGTGATAAGCTTCCAACAAAATGATGCTCTCCCCAAAAATGAAATAAAAAGAAACATTAAAAATACAAGAGAAAGGTGACACAAATGTAATAAAAATATGCTGTGTTCTGCTAGCCCATATGTTGAACACTGTAAACAAAAATACACAAGGCTCTTAGCTTCCTTACATACAAAACAAAAGACATGATCTGAACACACCTGCCACACAGGTAAATGTGGAAGTGGTGACCTGCCACAAAGTACACGAGGGGGGGAGGGGGGAGAGAGAGAGAGAGAGAAGGAGTAACAGACCTCGTCCATTCTAATGTGTTTTTTCCTCAGTAGGCCATTATTCTGACAAGTCATCAGCTCTTCTAATGACTCCAAAACCTCATTCCCTACCCAACCAATCAAATTACAATTCAAGAACATCTTTCAAAATCAATATACAATGAAGGACTACTTGTCATACTGCACTTTAAAAGCCCACTTTCTTGTGTTTTTCTATCTACATTATATTAGTGGAAATTCTGGTCCGCCAGCTATTATGAACAACATACCCACACACCATAGACACTTTCAGTCTATAATGGTAGTTAATCAGCTTCCTGTTGTAACATCCTATATATGAAAGCCAAACTGGTTTATTGCTACAGTCGGCTAGCAACTTCTGATACTATATTAAGCACTACTTAACAATCCTCTTAAAAAACATGAATATTATGATCCACTAGTATTTTCTATGCTGGTTGCCAATATCAAGCATTTTATGTGGCAATGGTTTGCGAGAAACACTGAATTAAATGTTTACTAGAATTCTGTAATCGTTTTTAAATGCAATTCTTAGATCAAAATACCTGAATATATATGTTTCTCAACTATTCTGCCTAATTTCTCAAAATTAAACTCCCTTGCAGGATATGGATTTCCAGCATGAAATGTAATGTTACCTGAGACAGAAAACCCATGCCTGCCTGGCCCATTTTCATTTTCTTTAGTAGGGGGCATGTGGTAGTGTAGTTGGTTGAGGCGCTATGCTACAAGCCGGAAGGTCGTGGGTTGAAATCCTGATGAGGTTATCAGATTTTTTCAATTGACCTAATCCTTTCAGGTGCACTATGACCATGGAGTTGACTCAGCCTCTAACAGAAATGAGTACCAGGAATATTCTTGGGGGTAAAGGATGGCTGGCGAGTAGGGCTGAGAACCTCGCTGCCATCTATGAGCAGATTGTCTAGAAAATGTGGGAACCTCCACATCTCACAACCCTATGAGCCTCCATGGCCTGTTACAAGGATATCTTTACTTTTTTTTTTTTTACTTAGTGTCACAGAAATTAGCAACTTACACATTTTGAGACAACTTCAGTTATTTTCCCATTTTGCAATAACTAAATTTGTGGGACTGAGTTTTCCTTCAACAGTTGATAACAGTAGCTGATTATATTGTCGGTGGACCAGAGAACATTTCCTATGAAAATAAGTTTTCAGTCCAGGTTCTGGTCTTGTCACTATTACAGTACAAGAAATCCAGTTCTTAAGTATCTCTGCCTGCAGCTTAAGGTGTGACTTTGCCTTTTGGAAACACACTGCACAGAATGTTGAGGTCTTTCCTTTCTGCAAACCTTTGGCATTCTACTGAAAGCTGAAGCTATACAACTAACATATTCTTCTATTCATGATCTGCCTTGTTAACAATGTAAGTGCTAGGTAGCCCACCATGATGAATTTCTGGTGCTCACTTCAATCACAAGAGTTCATCAAAAGAAGAGAAGCATGGAACATACAAAGAAACTGATTTGTATCTGAAATAAATCACCATTAAGACCACTATGGAATCCAAATTCATGAAAAGTGCATTCATGTTAAAATTCTCAAATCAAATATAACCATCTAATTTTTAACTTCATTCTGGCTGGGTCTAAAATTTCTAAATATTCTTCTAAAGAAGTGATACTGGTAACTTCTAAACTCTGATACAGATATATGAACAACATCACGTATACACAAACTTACACGTAAACTGCAGTGCTTGACACATGGACTAGTCTACACATTTCAAATAAAACTGAATACAACACAAGCAAAAACCACCAAGCTGATGTGGTATGGTGCAATATCCATACATGGCCCGCATGAATGGACTACCTTGGGTTTTGTTTCGCCTCCTGGGCCTTCTGATTCACTGCCATCTGCCTGTTGCTGAGCCTCTTCCCGCCCCTGTGCCTCATACTCCCCTTCCATAGAGCTTGATGAACTGGCTGATGTTGTGCCCGTACTTGATTTGCGCACCAACTGGGGTCACCACACACCATTGTGACCAAGTTAACATGAGACAACACGTATCGGAAACAGAGTGTATATAGCACAGCACAACTTCTACACTTTTCACTGCACAATGTAAAACAAAATTATTTTCTCTAATGAAGTGCCCACTATTGTGTGTCCTCTCTTAGGTGTACTTGAGAACAGTAGAACAATTTGCTCTCTTATGTCGGCGCCTTTGCTGCTTCCTAGTTGGATGTTATTTTTAAACAGATACCATAAGCAAATTTCTCACCTCTTTAGGAACAACTATAATGTACAAGGGTAAGTCAATAAGTAAGTTACAAATGGATATAGAACTTAAACAAATAAAAGTACTGATTTGAAAAATGCTTTTATTTCTCATCATAATTTCCCTTTACATTCAGGCCCTTGCCCCATCGTTTCACAAGCCCATGAAAACCAGCAGAATAAAATTCTTTGGGCTGCTGTCAGAACCAGGCAGTGACTTCCCTTTCTACAGCTTCATCGTCGGGAAAATGTTCAGCTGAAAGATGATGTTTAAGAGGGCCGAACAAATGGAAGTCGCTTAGAGCAAGGTCGGGGCTAAATGGAGGATGCTCAAGGACTTCCCACTTGAAATTTCGCGTCTCATTTGTCTTGTTGGCAGTATGGGGACGTGCGCTGTCATGCAAAAGCAACACACCTCTGGTGAGGAGTCCTGGTCACTTCCATTGAATGGCCTTAAGAAGTTTCCTGAGGATGTTACAGTAGGAGTCAGCATTTATGGTTTGTCCTTGAGGCTGGAATGCAGTGAGCAGTATGCCTTCGTGATCCCAGTCACCGCCTGGTTCCGACAGCATCCCAAAGAATTTTATGCCACTGGTTTCCAGGGGCTTGTGAAACAATGGGACAAATGCCTTAATGTACAGAGAGATTATGTTGAGAAATAAAAGAATTTTTCAAATCAGTACTCTTATTTGTTTAAGTTCTATATCCATTTGTAACTTACTTATTGACTTACCTACGTACCATGGAACATTTATGTCATCTGCAGTGGCGAGATTTGCAAAGTAACTCCTTCAATCACACATTTAACAAGACTAAACTAAAATAAATATACAATTCATGAAACAACCAAGGAAAATACCCTAGCAGAATCAAACTTGTTGAATTTATGGACAGATCAAGAAAAGAAAAAGCAATAAAAAACCATGAGATACCTGTAAAAATAGAACAGCCACAAAGCTGCTGGGGGTTAGTTATACAGGGTCTGTTCATATATATACCCCAGAAGTGAGAAACAAATCTTCTGTTTAACAGAAGAGTAGTTTCATAATCTCTTTCTGTTCATCATCTCACAATTATTCTGTGAAGCATTTAAATACAACTTTGACCTGAAGAAATTAACCAGCCAGGTTATGACACAAATCAAAGGAACTAAGAAAACCAAAAAATACTTTCATTAATAACGAATTTCAGGTCTCTTAATTAGAAAAAGGAATGGCAATCGTTGCAGCAAGACAATCACTTCCACGCATGATACTGTGACAATAATATGATCAGTCATGTTAAGAAGGTGACAAGGAATATTTCTTTTCTTCCGTCCAAATGGAAGTACTACTAAGCACTTCTAATACTAAATATCATCCTTAAACTCATCATCAGTAATGGCGACTATCTCACTTTTGCAACTATCCTTAAGAGACTGGACTGTATACACGTATATAACTTTATACAGTATGACAGTGTAACATTTAAACTGACATCCAAATTACATTGGGCAGCACAAAAAAAAATACCTATCCCTCATCTGTTCCTTACTTCTTCATATTGTCTCATGATAACTATCATTGTTAATATGTTAGTTGTTGGCAATAAAAAGACAAAAGCTCATGGAGAAAAAATTTCTCATCTTCTCTAATATAATATCTGATGCCTGCAAAACAAATATAACAAGGACACATGAACACCTAATTCATAAACTCAAATTTAAATATTGTCTTTTAAACTTCAAAATCATTCCTTTACTTTTACCCAGGCATGTGTGAGTCTCAAATTTATGAGACAGAATCAAGGGGAAAAAGTATTGTCAATTTTGATTCAAATGCTAATTTTTATTTCTTGAACTAATAGTCAATTTTGATTCAAATGCCAATTTTTAATTCTTAAATTATGAGAATTTTCTATATCTGCTTTTGCTTAGCATGCTGGTGTCAGGCCATAAGGGACTGGTATCCTATTTGTCTAACAGATGAAAAGCCTTTTAGGGTTACAAACCTACAGGTTTGTATGTGCTCACATGTTTGCGCACGTGAGTCAGAGAGAGAGAGAGAGAGAGAGAATGACATATTTAAAATGCTTTAAACTTCTAGAATGATATCAGCATAGATCACTAGTTCCCACTATCTTTCTCTGTGAGAGCAGCAAGCGAGGAAGTGAGATAAACATTGTATTGAATATGTATAAATGTATTGACAATATTGTATTGTATATTGTATTGAAGCATCGTGTTCTACTGTGTATACCAATTTTAAGATTCTCACTTTGCTGTCTCTGTACATCTCTATCCATATACTGAATTCAGACTTCAAAGATCTTTGACTCTTCTCATTATTTATTTACCACTACACGTTTTGGCCTAAATGGCCATCATCAGGAGTATAACATTGTACATGAAAACTGTTGCTCTGTTATGCAGTTTCATCTACAATCTTATACTCCTGATGCTCTGTTATGCAGTTTTCATCTAAAATCTTATATACCTGACGGCTACTTAGGCTGACACGGGTAGTGTTAAATAAATAATAAGAAGAGACAAAGAGCCACAAAGTGTGAACTGAATACATGGACAGAGTTGCACAGAGATGAAGTGAGAATCCTAAACTAGGTGAGACAAACATGTTTCAAGATTACAGGTCATAAGGCTGCCCTAAGTTTGATCAACGTCTGAAATAAAACATGTGCCCCTCAAACAAAAGGGGGGGGGGAAGTCATATAAAAAAAGTGAGTACTGGTGTGAAAAGGAATAATGCATCAAAAAGTTTCATGAACTGCAGGTATTATTAGTATTATTATTATTGGAGGGGGTGGGTTTCCCCATGCACCGCGACCAGTGGTCTATTGTACGTCCCCCTGTGATATTCTACCCGTCTCTATACCTTACCGATACTGGTGCGTGCCATCAGTCCCGACTCAGCCAGCGAGTTCGGCCTCTACTGGCTCAGCGGTATCTAGATGCTTCCCCCATCTACCAGAGACGTTAGAGACTATTGTTGGGCAGGAAATGTCCTTTATAATTTGGCTCAGAGGTCTCCTTGAAGCATGACGTTCTTTTACGTGCCGTAAAGCTATGTCATGGGACCCACGGCTTAAAGACCCTCCCGGAGGACTTGTTCCCTGAATTTTTCCACCCTTAAAAATTCCACGACCTCCACCGGGTTTGAACCCGCGTACCTTGAGTCATGAGGTGGGACCGTTGCCCCTAGACTACGGAGGCTGCTCATGAACTGCAGGTATGGTCCATAATTTCAGACACTAATGATTAAAAGTTTGAAACAAACAACCGTAAAAAAAAATTAATCTTCTGAGGCAAATGACGAAAATTGGAAACAACAGAAACTGGAACCTGCCATTTCCATATGAGAATTGCTGTTTGTACAAATTCAAAGACAGACTGGAACATTAGCCTTGTGAAACATCAGTCTCAATAAGAGGCTCAAAATTTAAGTCCAGCTCAGGGTGGTATGTACAGATGTTACAGAGGAACAGGTTTCCTTTATAACAGAGCCTTCACCTTGCAAGACGTTTACCATTACACTTCAAGGCATTGCCAACGAAATGCCAGTGTATTCTGATACAAAATTCAATTACACAATCGATGATATGTGCCAAATCTGCTGCCATAAAACATCAGGCAATGAAAAAATGTGACTGTGAATCAAAAGAGCTACGTCTAAGGCACAGTTGCCTACCGATCTAATTATCATGTATCTAAAGGATAGAACATGGGGATTGGTTGCACGCTGCCTGGAAAAGGAGAGCAAAAGAACGACTGAGAAAACAAGGAAGGCTTGTGTTGGCTGTATTTTAGGCCCATGTAACACTTGATGCAAGATTGTAACCCATGTGCTCTTGCATACTGACACTGGACTCCCTTAAGAAATGACTAATTACATATTCTAATGAATAAGTCTTTTAATGAACATTCGAAACAATTGTTCTCTGAATAGTTCTTGGCAGAAATCTATGTTCTGACATAAAGGGTCAGCAAAGAAGCCAAATGTAAGAATGGATGAAGACCATAGTAACAGTTCTCTCCTGAAGTTATGGTCATAGGAAAGTGTTGTATATTTGATGAAATGAATGGCTGGGAAGGCAAGGAAGAAGTTGGAAATGTTGGCAGTGAACATGAGTGTGTGAGTAGTGAATATGAGGCAGAATTGTGAAGGCAGTGAAGATAAGGGAGGTGATAAGAATGGTGAACAGAGACTGGTGAAGCTGTATAAAGGCCTGTGACTTCAAAAAGGGAAATAACTCAATCAATTTCATGTATAACATGTCTCCTAATATGCATTTTCTTTCACATATTTGTAGTAACATCATAAAATGAAATCACAAAATTACTTTCTCTGTCCAGGTATATTTCCTAATGCAGGGTCAGCTTCCTATTCAGTAATACTTTCCATTCAGGTAAATACTGTCATGTGTATGAGTGACTACAGAGAGGGTTTGGATTGGTAATTGGATTTATTGAACTCTCACAGAACCGTTACTATAAGTAATTATAACAGTTTCACTAATTCACACACTTTACAGTTCACCAGGGCACACACTTAGGTCTTCTCAGCTGCTGTGTCTTCACCAGTCTTCTGGCAACAGCTTCAAAGAAGGGATTTTCCCCTTCCTCTGGGTCCCCAAACTGTACCTCAAGGACCAGCCTCTAACAGCAACACCTCATAACGACTGAACCTCAGGAGTTCTCTGACCAACTCACACCAACCAACTCACTCCACTCCACTGCCTGAATAACTTGTCCCTGACTGTCCTGCTTATAACATCTCAGCAAGACCAAACAGAAAACACTGTTCCTTTGTTGCTGTTTACAGGCCGTTACCTAGTTGTTTGTTTCATGTTCACTGCCTAGCAATTCCACAATAAGGTTGTACACTTTGGTGCACTGTGAAAAGGTGGCTAGCGTTATAAACTGCTATGGTGAAGAACTTGGTCTACTAGACAAAATTCTCATTCCTGCCTCATTTCTCAAAATTTTTCCAAATTCTTGCCTCAAACCGAAGAAGTCATTCTCTCACTAGCCTTCTTCAACCTTCTTTAAACTCTAAACAAAACTGCACCACCAAGCACAATAATTTAAAACAATTTAAAAATTTAAGCAGACACTATTAAGGTCGAAGCAGAAGAGTACCACAGAATATGGCTTATTTAATGACACTGTTGGTAACTCAGGATATACAGCTTGAAAAGACTGGATGATAATGCGTAATGAACTGTGAAGGATGTGGAAGGAAGAAATTGTGAGCTAATTTAGGGTACTGTCCTGGTATTTACAAGAAGGGTCACCAGAAAACGACAGTCAAGATAGTCAGCATCCCACCTAAGATTCAAACTGAATACCCCCCCCCCCNTGAGTCAATTTGCTTTGGTATCTACTGACATTTTATTTTATGCATGGCTGTTCATGCTTTTGTACTCTGTGAGCATTTGAAATCATCATTAAAGCATGAAGGTAGGATCCAAATCAGTCACAGATGCAAAATTTTAATATATATCCTGAAATTCAATATTTTAATAAGAATTATATGGTTGCAAAAAAAATCTACTTCATTCTCTCCATGTTTATGAGCAGTAAATTTCATATGAAAATGTATTAGCATCCAGGAACAACAAGCTTCATTTCTATCTGATAACTTGCTCAACTCAGGGATACTATGTGGATTAATCACTAACGTCACAGATTCAAAAAGCAAGGTACAGTAAATTTTTATATACAGTAGAACCTGGTTATAACGTCATCAAAGGGACCTAAAAATAGTGTTGTTATAAACGAATGTCGTAACTGAAATGGGCACTTCCACAGTAGCCTTATGTTAGTCACGTAAAAATCTACCAAAAACCGAGTTAAAATGTTGCATTTTTTAGTGAAATACGTAGTTAACTACAGACTAACGTTACATTAACGCGGAATTGCCCAAATGTGTAATATCAAAGACATAATACAGCGCTTTTCACTGACAATACACACCGCACTAATACTGTATATTAAAGGTAGGCCTACTCACCAAATTACAGTAGATTACATCAATTGTTGTGCCTTAATGTACCTAGATACGAGTACAGTAATCAGTTATCTTCATCTGTTTCCTGTTACTTGCCCAATACACACTTTCTAAATTACGTTCAATGTCCATATCAGAGAAATTCAGGAATGAAAATGACGTTACATACGAGGTTGATGCATTTGTGCATGTCGTACTAAGCAAGGTATAAAAACAGTTGCTTTATGAGGAATTAGTTCGTACCATTGAATATTTGACGCAATAGACAAGGTGTCGCAGAAACCGATGTTGCTATAACCAAGTTTTACTGTATATATATATATATATATAATGTTCAGTAGAACAAAAGCATTTCCAATCATTACTCTGAGCTGTTTAAAACTGAATTTTGCACTAATCAATGTTACTGTTCTTGTACAGAAAATAAACACTTGCACTGGGATACAAGCCAAGGAACCTACCGTATTTACGCATGTATAGGCCGCGTGCGTGTATAGGCCGCAGCACAATTTTCAGACAGAAATTATAGAAAAAATAATTTTCTTGGAATATTATTTCAGGAGTAGAACACCCTGTATTACTAATTATGAATATATTTTTTTTAAATGAAGCGTGAGTTCGAATATAAGCCACACCGCAGTTTCCCTCTTGAATTTTTGGCAAGAAATGTGCGGCCTATACATGCGTAAATACAGTATTTCAAGTGCCGAAGCATTAGCCAGCACATTTATCTGTTTATGAAGAAAAATGGAAAGGGAATTTAAAATATTGTAAAAAAATTATATAAGTGTTTGTGTCTATGAGCACTGAATATCGACAGTAACAATAAATGCAGAGAGAATGATGACAGTGAACTAGTTGGCACTAAAATGGCTGAAAAGTACTGTCTTCAACAATGAATAAGTATATAAGCAGAACAGAATGGTTAGTACAAAATAACTACACTAACTTGTATCTACAGAAAACACACAAAACAGTCTGTACCTGAAAATAAAACAATACAAAGGGACTAAGCCCCTCACAAGATCAGGAATATATTTGTCTTCAGTTACCTTGTCCTTGAGCTTCTCTTCTTTCTTCCTCAGCTCTTTGACTGGCTTTGGCTTGTCATCGATGTGTTCCATGTCTGGAATGTGTTCTGGAGGATGCGACATGGTATGCCTCTTGTTGAAGTCTTCTTCTGTCTGTCTGGGTCCAGCCAGAGCTGCAATGAAATCAGTAACATCTACCATTTTCCCATGTTCAACAGTGTCAATTCAATGTTCTTCCTGAGAACAAAGAGTGCAGAAAATCTGAAACTTCAATGGTTGATCCTTCTTTTCTGAGAAGTCTTCAGCTCCTTAATCTTTTGGAAGACTCTACCTGTATTGTTGCTAATATCACACTGTAGAAGTCTTGCTGTAGTGCACAGATACTACGAAAATTTGGAGACCTTGTCTCACTTCCGATTGAGGTTGATGAGAGACTTATGTGAATAACATTCAATTGAACTTATTTTATAATTCTCTTAAAATAAATGAAAACATAAAAAAAAAATTATTACTGATAAGAAAGAAGGACCCAGCTATGTTAAACTGTGCAGCTCTCCTTACAGGTTATGACACCGTTAAAACATACCACTTATGCTGTTAATGTTATGTACTGGTAATGAAAGTTTACAATCCAACAATAAAATAAAAATTTAACTCATTGATTAGCATGCTGGCATCATGTAGATGGTCACTGGGTCAAATCCTAAAAGTCGTAATTCCTTTTTTATAGTTCACAATAGTAGTTAGTTATCTAGAGAGGGTGGGTTTCCCCATGCACCACGACCAGTTTGATCTATTGTGCTTCCCTCTATGATATTCTACCAGTCTCTATACCCTACCGATAAATGGTGCATACCATCAGTCCCACCAATCAAGCGAGTTCGGCCACTTGCTTAGCCGTGTCTCTAATGCTTTCCCCATCTATCAGAGGCCTTAGAGACTATTGTTGGGCGGGAAACGTCCTGGAATTTGGCTCAGTCATTTCACAATAGTAAATATCTTACATATTATTGTCATTATTATGTCAGTTTCACTGCAACTTATCAAAAATAAGTGTAACCCCCCCCACTACCAAAAAATGTTAAGTTATACGTGTACTTAACACCCATTAAGAAATCAAGTCTCTGCATTTGTTACTGTTTACAGATTAAATACATTTCATTATAATGATAAGTTTCAAACGACAGCACAATGGTGAAACCAAAATAATGCATGCTTCTTAATACTCCTGTCATCTGGTTGTGGCTTTTTAGAATAAGTGTAAGGTCTATCAGGGAAAGCCATTTATTCCTCATCTTCATCAGCCATTACTTTCCTTTATCCTCATCATACCTTTATCACCATCCCTTATTCATACACCCTCTCACAATTCCTACTATGCTTCCTTCCCCTCCTCCCACTCATTTATGTTAAGATAAACACTGCTGGCTGTTTTGACTATTTATGCGACTGCCAGACACTGGGAGTATCTGTCCTCTGTGTGTGCAATACATAAGGCCAAAATATTTTCCCAGAGGTTGGAAACCTCTGCGAGCAAAACCAATGATCACAAACATAGATCACTTTTCATACAGGGTGGGGCGCAGAAACTTCCTTTTTCTGAAGGGAGGGGAGGTGGCAGAAAAGTGGGGACAGGCTTGGCGAACGCAGCAGTCACGGAAGTTTCTGTCTAATAGCCCTCAGTAGGAACCATGAGGTGGATGAGTGAGCAGCATGCGTTTGCTGTCGAAGCCTACTTTTCGAACAACCATTCCTACGTGGCAGTGCAGCGTGCGTTCCGTACTCACTTCGGAATTAAGCCCAGAGTTCTGGATCCCGATTGGAAATCGATTGTTTTGTGGGTAGAAAACTTTAGGACAACCGGGAGTGTGGTGAAAAAATCAGGACAACGGACAGGTACGCCGCCAGAAAATGTGGTGGCAGTTCGACAGTCGATTTTGAGATCTCCAAGACGCTCCGCTCGCAAACATGCAGTCGCCCTAGACCAGGGGTTGGGGAACTTTTTTACTTATTACCCCAAAATATATTTATTTACGCCGACGTTACCCCCTTGATTTGAAAGAGAGAAAATCATAGATTATTCAAATTCAGAAGGTTTATTGAATCTATTTATATGGAGAATACAATTATAAATATAAAAAGTATAAAATAAATGCGATAAAATACGAGTAAATTAATATCCTCATTATGACACAAAAGGATTTCTTAGAAAAATTTTTTCACTTCAGGTTTTGGAGAAATTATGTTGTTTCATTTTTGATACAGTAACATCAAAATTAGGATATTTTGATGTCAGAGCAATTTGCATACTGTCTTCGGGGTCCAATCAATTTCTCTGCTTTGTTTTTACGTTCAGTAGAGTGGAATATCTTTGTTCGCAAAGGTAGGCTGTTTGAAAGGGCAGCAACTTTCTGATTGCCTCCTCATGTGCAATTTTGAAAGCACTTGCAGCTCTTGACATCCAAAAATATGACAGATCTGCTTTGTTTTCAAATTCAATACGTGCTTCATTATTGGATCGATTTTCAGTAAGTGCCTCTGCCAAACCTTGAGGCTCTTCTGGTACATCAGCAATTTCACATTTAAAGGGATCTACAACCCAACTGACATTATGTGAATCGAGATCTGGAAAGTAATCATCGAACCGCTTTTTGAGTTTGGTAAGATGCCTTATTACTGTGTCCTTGATGTCGTCAAAAGTAATATTTTCACAATCTTCCAAAAACAAAGCCAACATTGAAAAGGCAGCAATCTTGTTTTGTCCTGCTTTCTGTCTCCAATATAAAAGCTTTGATCCAAACGCTGAAATCTTTTCTCTGGCTGAAATTATATTGATGTTTTTTCCTTGCAATTCTTTGTTCAATGCATTCACATACCCAAAAATGTCAGCTAAATATGCGAGATGTGCACCCCACGATGAGTTTGTAAACTCATCTTGCAGAACATGCTTCTGATCAACCATAAACATTCAAGTTCAGTTTTGAGAACCCACACTCGGTTCAGAACATTTCCACGTGACAGCCACCTCACTTCTGTATGATAAAGTAGGTCTGTATATTCAGCCTCCCCATCTGTACATAATTCACGAAATAGTCGCATGTTTAGTGCATGTCCTTTGATGACACTGACAACGTTGATAACATCATGCATGACGGCTTCCAGTGCAGGTTCCAAACGTTTCACAAGCAGTGCCTGGCGATGGATCATACAGTGGTTAACTTCAATTTTTGGATTTTTCTCTCTCGCCAAAGCCGAAAAACCACTGACATGACCCAACATAGCTGGAGCTCCATCAACAGACAAAGCAATGCAGTCTTCCCACTTTAAATTAGCGTTATTAAAGTATTCATTAATTTTATTGAAGACATCAATTCCACGAGATCGCAACTCGAGGGGAGAACAAAACAACTCCTCTTCAATTGCATGTAAACCTTTGTAGCAAACAGACACCATCAGCTGCGAATTACTACTGACATCTGTAGTTTCATCAAGCTGAATAGCAAAGCATTTACTCTCTTTTATTGAAGAAATAACTTGTTCCCTCACATTTTCTGCTAAAATAGAAATTCTTTCTTTCACAACTTTTGCAGACAAGGGCACTGAATTTAGTTTCGCAGCTTCTTTCTGACCACACATAATCTCTGCCATTTTCAAAGCTGCTGGTTTAACCAATTGCTCACCAATAGTATGTGGTTTCTTGTTTCGGGCAATCAACCAGGCCACTTCAGAGGTGGCCTTTGATGCTGAACGTTGATCGAATGTACTTCTCAAGTTGCTGTTCAGTCTTTGTTTTTTGACAGACATTTCCAAATTTACAAAGTATTCCCGCGGTTTGGAAGACAGGTGTGGGTGCAAATTATTCAAGTGTTTCTTCAATTGACTCTTTTTGAAAGATTCTGCAGTCAGTACTTTCAAACAGACAACACACTGTGGTTTCATTATTCCTTTGTCTTCTATTTGTGTAAACCCATAATTGAGGAACTCTTCCTGGTATATTCGTTTTCTAGTTGATGTCATCTGAGGGGTAAAAAAGACAGTGATTCAAAAAGTTTTAACTCTTCAGCACACGCGTTTCTTATAGTTACACGAGGACATGCGTAATGTGGAGGAAACCTCCGCATGTACAATATGTGTAAGTCAGTACTGGAGGCCGTGCCATAGCTCAGGTGGTTAGTTGCACATGTACTATAACACAAAATTACCGATTCAGTGTGACAAGCTCAAACTGCTACTACTGCACATAAATGATAGTGCGTCGGTTTCATGAAAGACTTCATTTCACTTACTTATTAAATAATGATTGAATGAATTTATTGATAGTAAATCCTTGCTAACAAGACACTATCTTACCTTGATCATCAAAGTTTTTGAGCATAAGATAAAACAATAGGTGACTAGGCCAAAATGACGTATACAAGATGTGTGCTTCTGCTGGCTGCCGAGCCACAACTAACGCTATCGTCCACATGCTGGGTGCGTTTATCTATAGAAGTGTTTAGTGATGACGTCACGCTGCCATGCTGGACCATTAAACAATTTCCGTAGCAGCCGTTGTTACGGATGGTTATATGCCGGAAGAAAAATTTCTGTCGTAACAAGGAACGTGTTTTTTATATAATTTCATTTATGTCTATTGAGTCCTCATTACCCCCAAGGATTTCATTTTTACCCCACTTGGGGTAATTTACCTCGGTTCGCCGACCACTGCCCTAGACATATTCAATAGTTCAATGCGCCGAATTCTTCACGAACATCTTAATTTCCATCCCTATAAGATGGTTGTTGTGCAAGAATTGTCACCACTTGATTTCCAGAACCGAATAACAGCGTGTGAAACGTTATTGGAAACTTTACACCCTGATACACTTGTTTTCTTTAGTGATGAGGCACATTTTCACCTATCCGGATATGTCAACAAGCAGAATATGCGCTATTGGAGTGGTAACAATCCCAGAGAGCTCCATGAGAGGCGACTTCACAGTGATAAGGTGACAGTTTGGTGTGCGCTATCGAGAGTTGGAGATTTTTTTGAAGATGACAATCATGCAGTTACTGTCAATTCACAGCAGCACGTCGACATGATTAAAAACTTTTTCGAACCAGCTCTTGAAGAAATGCATCTAGGAAATGTCTGGTTCCAACAGGATGGTGCCACAATCCATACAGCCCGAGCTTCAATGACAGTTTTGAGGGCAAAGTTCCCCAGATGGCTCATCTCGCTTCGAGGTGACATCCCGTGGCCAGCGCACTCACCTGATCTAACACCCTGTGATTTTTTTTTTGTGGGATACCTCAAGGCAGAGGTTTTTAAACATTGCCCCACAAACCTGCTTCAGCTGAAGAATGTTATTTGGCAGGAACTAGCCCAAATTCTGGTGCACATCTTGGAACGTGCAGAGGGGAACTTCAGAAAACGGTTGCATCAGCGCATAGAGAACGGTGGCCACCACCTTCAAGATATTTTGTTTAAAACTACATGATTTAAAACTTTAAAGTATGTTCTTTCATTAGCTAAACATAAATTTTGTCTATCAGAAATAACCTTTCTTTTATTCACCTTCAAAAAAAGGAAGTTTCTGCGCCCCATCCTGTATTATAAGATGTTACTTACTACCTACAGCATGCAAGTTCACATATTACTGGCTAATTTTCATTAACATAATTATTACTTCTATAAAATATTCACATGAAATTAAATATTTAATTTAGGCCATAGAAATTAGACAATATTACAAAAATGTATGTGAGCTGCACAAAATTTATCAGTGGGCCACAAGTTGAGAACCTCTGTCTGAAGCCACTGAAGGTGTGTACTACGAAGGTGACCACACTCACTGATCATTGAATAAATAAATTGTTTTCACAAAGTCACTATCACACCTCACAGGTACATCCTTAAACCTAAGATTCAAACTGCAGGTTGCATGTGAAATTGAATTAGTATTTGATAAAGAGGTGCAGCTAATATGAAAACTCAGACAACTATGACCCTTACACTGACAGCTCTCTCATTCCTTCAGAGCACTCTCTTTTGCTAGGGAGAAAGACAAGACAGATGATTAGATAAATGTAGGGAATATTTATCACAAACAGGAGCCTCTTGATATGTTCAAAACTAAAATATGGTCAGAACTAGGTAAAAACTTATAATGATCACCCTTCTTTCATATCATCACAGCTCTTACAATGCACTAACTTACCATCCATGCTTCGTGAAGTAAGGCCTCTCCCACTAAGACTGCGTTCAAAACGAGGAGCGGGTCGTTCAATAAGTGACTTCTTTGTCTCATAGTGGGTTCGTCCTGAGTATCTGAACTTGGAGCCAAACCGAGGAAATAGCCCTGTTTTTTGTGTTGGTTCAGGTGTCATTAATCTAGAAATACAATGAGGCATGGAATATAATATAACTTATTTACTTAACAGCAGCAGCAGCTCAAGATTTTACCTTGCTGAACACTTTAGATGCAGTACTTCTTTTGGCTTATTTTGCACTTCACCCATCATCCAGTATATAAAAGACAAAAAACCACGACGTTTCGGAGACTGGATCTGTCTCCGTCTTCATGTGGATAGGGAAGGATAAACCCCTTAGAAAGAGCTAGTCTCAATCACTGGTCCAGCTCTTTCTAAGGGGCCCAACTGAGTAGGTTTATCCTTCCCTATCCACCTGAAGACAGAGACAGATCCAGTCTCCGAAACGTCATGGTTTTTTGTCTTTTATATACCGGACGATGGGTGAAGTTCAAAATAAGCCAAAAGAAGTACAGTATACACCATCGTCAGAATCCTTTCAAGTCTAACTTTAGATGCAGTCATTGCATGAAGGAATCTGTCACCCACAGCAGTTCTAATTTTGACATACCTGAAGAATGTGTGATGTTCTACTGAAACTTTCCATAATTTCTTCGCTGCTCTATGGTTTGCCAGCTTGAAGCCAATTGTAGACTCATACTGCTCAAACTCACCAGGACGAATTTTGATGTAGAAATTATGTCGTTTATATGAAATCTTTAATATCTTCGGCCATGCAAACCTATTGATACGTAACCTAAGAAGAAACAGACATTTTTAAATGCCTACAAATAAATTTCTTCAATTTCACAACAAAAGAACAGGAAAGCAATCACACTCTATTCACCGTGGCATATAATGTAATGGTAAGAACACTCTAGTAATTATGCATTAACATGTAGTTCTGAACTCAACAATAGTCAAAAAATATTTTAGCCCAAAAATGTCTGAAGTTTGACGCTCTTCTGTTCATCATCACTTGTGTGTGTACATGTGCATGCGGATACCATATAAAAAATCTGGTTAGGAGATTTCAATGCCAAAGTAGACAGGGAGGACATTTTCAATCCAACAATTGGGAATGAGAGTTTGCATGAAATCAGTAATGATAATGGAGTTATAGTAGTAAACTGTGCCACAGTGAAAAATCTTACTGTCAAAAGTACAATGTTCCTGCATCGTAACATCCATAAATTTACTTGGAAATCTCCTGATGGGAAAAGACACAATCAAATCAACCATATTTTGATAGAGAGGAGATGGCATTTAAGTATACCTGATGCCCGATCATTCAGGGCAGCAGATTGTGATACTGACCACTACCTCGTGGTGGCAAAGGTTAGGGAAAGATTGGCAGTGAGCAAACAAACAATGCACAAAGTTCATATGGAGAGGTTCAATCTCAAGAAATTAAATGAAGTAGAGGGTAAAGAGCAGTATTGTGCTGAAATTTTAAACAGGTTTGCGGCTTTGGAAAACTTGGGACACTGAGGTGGATGTTTTACATTACTTTACATCACATTACATTATATTACATTGCACTGCATTTCATAGATCCATAGTTAGTCAAAAATGACTGTAGGATGTGGAATATGTCATATAAATACAAAACATATGTACAGCCCCAATGCAGTTCTCACGCACAGAAATATAGAATAAACAGTGACTACACACAAGGCTATTTAAATATACGAGGTGTGTTCAAAAAATGACGGGAATTTCCGTATTTTGGAAAAAATATTTATTCATTCGTCTACATTAATGTTGTCGCCTTCAAAATAGTCCCCATTCGATATTATGCACTTACGCCAGCGCTTCTTCCAATCATCGAAACACTTCTNGCGCTTTTCTGAAAGCTTGAGAGGTTAGCAATTGGATTATGATGACAGTGTTTGTGTCTTGTGTACATCCACATTCGTCTGAAAATGTTCTTCGTTATTTGTAATGGAGTTTATTAAAGAATATATATATATATATAT